CAAGCATACAGTTGAGTCTAATCCGAGCGGATGACACCTTAAATGCTGCCTTTCAGATTCCTATTGCTTCACTAAAATGTGCTATGCATTACGGACAGATATGTGTTCCAGTTGTACGAGCGTACGTCACTGATGCGCTTTTAAAGTAAAGAAGTCCCTTCTTACAATTCGAATCGAAATGAAATAATTTATCACAATAGTACACAATTAAATTAATAACGCAACTTTTCAGGTGCCGAGCTGATATGTTTTATGTTTTACTGTAGGGTACCTCAGAAACCTGGACATTCTGTGGTGAAGTGGGCAGACGCGCAATTCTATTAGAGATATCCGTGGAATATGGCTGACACGGAGACACGTTCTCGCGGAAATGGATATGGAGTGGGTACGAATGGTCACTCCTTATCCTCGCAGGGATGGGAAGAGGAAAAACGTCTCTTATTCATCTATGCTCTCAATTTGATCCATTAACTGATCCATAAAGCCCAGAAACACAGAAAACCCAATAATCTTGACTGCTTTCGAATCACAGGATGTCTAGAGAATAGACACACGGAAAATGTTGCGGACACACGGACATATCGCTTTTAAAGTATTGACTACGACTAGTAATCGTTCTAGAGAGGAAACAAACATCGCTCTTCTTAAATCTAGGCGTCAACTTCTCATTCTCCCGCTCCATCCACATTATCTTGACCATCGTATTTTAAAAATCGCAAATACAGCAAATATATGTTCCTTCGGTCCGCATCGGAGTAGGACGACACACCATAATGGAGCTACTGTTCGATAGTTTTGCTCCCCGACACGAATAACTGCACAATAAAGTGAGTTCCACTGGTCGGATGGTTGCTTTTTGACCAAGCTTAGCCAATTGGAACACTTATTATGGGACACGTTACAAAACTTGACAAATTCCTTGCACACCAGACCTGCACTCAGTACTAGCACATCGATAGAATTTGTGTACGTTAAATCACGACACGTCATTTTGTCAGATGTCGCTTCGACAAGTTGCCATTTTGATAAGGACAGTCCAGACGCCATACTTTCCTTTATCAATGAGTGGCACTAACCGACAGCTTTCAATCTCATAAAACAATGAGCGTTCAATTGTTTATCACAGTCGCGTTCCGATTTTTGCAATGGCGTAAAAATATGAGAGTAATGGCATACGCTGAGAATATCAGATCAAACCCTGTTAGAATTCCAGAAACTGTCACTGGAGAATTTTCACACCGGTCCTCTAATGCTTATTCCCACTGAAGGCTTATCCACTGAAATTCAGTATCCTTCATTGTCGAAAATTTATTTCTGTGCACGCCAGTACATTTACCTGATGTGAATATGCCTTTCTTACTCTAAAGTTCTTATGATTTGGAGTGATAACATATTTCTTACATAAACAAATATGGAAAGTATCATCATCTTAATTCGATTTGACTAATAATATAGGCGACTTTTGAATCAACACATGTTGAGCCCAAAACCACCTGTTGATTTTTGGCTCAAATCATTTGTTTGTAAAAACTAAGTGAAACTGTGAATATGAAAGAAAACTTTATACACATTTCTATTCACAATTCCAACAACCACTAATATTTAAGCGTCCCTCCTCATACGTATGGGTTTCTATCCACGGTCCTCCCCGCACTGAATTTTCGCACCGATAAAAACTGTGCTTTGTGCTAGCTCAAGGTGCAGTATATTTGGTTGAAATTTTGCATCGGTTGATTTTCGACCAAAGCGAACTAGGACAGGCCGATATTTTAGAAATCAGAGAAACAAGATTGCCGTTTCACTTTCGCAAACCCTGACTTAAAATATTTTCTAAAAAATGAAGCCTTTAATATATCCTTCAAGTCTACTTCGTCACTGTGTGTCCAGACTTTTGTGAGAAATTTGAAACCCTTCCCCATATCTACAATGACTTGAAAGAGATAAAATATAACGTAGATCGTTTCTTGAAGTATTATCGACATCAATGAAGTCAGAAACTGTTCACTGTAAAATTAATCGCAATGCCATAGAATCACCGATAAAAGTCAGACAAAATTAACGAGATGATACGCGATGATCATAAACGATTTAACATAAATAAACAAATTCAAATATCAAAACATACGTTGTCTGTTGCTCTTCTCATCCGCATTTGAATCATACATAGAAAATGATGGTAATTCGACATCTTCAATTCCAACAGCTCGCAATCTATCTTCTTCACTTATCTCTTCAGGTACTTAAAATATTTTCTCGGTACAAATGCACTTACAATTACGATGATATATCAGTAAACAAGGAGGAAAAGTAACTGAAACAAGAAGTACCGACAATGGATACGTTTCGATCAGGTTTTCCTGTGCGGGAATATTGAAGACGGAAAATAAGTGGATGAAAGAATTCTCATTTGCGAACATTGTCGACAATGACATCAAACAATGTATTAACAATGGAACGTTTCAGCGTAAAACGCCAGCATCAGCCGTGAACAACGCAATCCAATTACTATACTTCTACTGTCATTGTTATGAAGGACATGCACATATCGTTGATAGCATTTTTTTTTAAACTATTAAACAGAGAAGTGAAAGGATGATAGAAACAATTACGCGAAAACATACTAAGAAATGGTTAGTGTTATGAGCAGTGAAAGCTGCTTGAGCTGAGAAGATTTTAACAAAGCCAAACTGAATAATGTCCACAAAAACATACTTTTAACATTGCTGCTTTTCAACTTTATCATCAGCGGATTCTGACTAATAATATCGATCTCATTGTAGAATACACGTCTAATATTTTTTAATGCTGCCTTACTTGTGAACATGCGTGATTGCTCCTTCAAGAAGAAATCATTATGACAATACACATTTCATTAATAGAGTAAAATATTTACATTCATCAATGAATAGGTAAGATAATGATTCTCTTCAAAACTTCTTCACACAAAATACGTTGTTTCTACTAAACATCGAGATGAACTAATTCGTAAAACATGATTAGTTTTTGAAGCGTTATAAAAGTGAAACAAACTGGTTAAATTAGTTGTTTTGAAAATGTTGCAAATATTGTTCGAATGGATATCACTAAATAATGCCGTGAATACTAGCCTGTGAGTTCAAACAAACTCCATATATACGCTCGTATTCAGTCTGAAGGTGACTGTACGATATCGGATGTTCATAGCCATGCAATTTATGCAGATCCATCATTATCGTCAATATTCGACGTTTACCCTAGCAATTTCAAACCTATCTTTACAAAAAATTGATTGCAATAACAAAGCGATTCAGCGATTCGACTGACTGTTTCTTAGGAATATGGCATTTCCGTTTCATAAGCACTAGTGCAGACATCGCTAATAAGTACGGAATTGTAAACAGGAATATACTGGATTTCAATAAACTTAAAATTACGTCACTTCAAACAACCTCATTATTGAATCCTTCAGTGGAAAAATTATCATAATGCCCAAAAAGATATGCGCCTCAAGTCTTCAAAATAAAGATCAGATACAAACCTCAATAAAAGCTTCAGTATTTTCAACTTTCTTCAATTCTAATAGTCTCTGCCGCTTTCTTTTCATTTTTCTGGAAATTTGAATTCATCGTTTTTTCCAAAAATTTATGCAGTGATTCCAAACTTATCTTCGTTTTCGAGAAAACCAAATTTCAAATCTTCAATATTTAGAGATAGTTGAGGAGTCTGACAGAAGCAAAATAAATGATAAATTTCATCCAGAAAAACAAACGAGAAAATCAAAGATGGTATTATTCCAAAGATAAATGAAAAATAAATCAGAATTCCTTAACTCACATCTGATCAGCGTTAAGATTTTGGTCAGCCAAAGTTTGAGTGATGTGTTGGATCGATGGAGTGACCTTCACGGCATAAATAATCGAATTGTTGGTGATGTTCTTTACTTCGACATAATCTTTCATGTATTCACTCTCGAGAAATGTATCGAACGACGGATACCCACAAGCTTGCACAGCATCATCGACCGTTGTACCCCAATCGTTACTTAATTATGACACAATCTTATTCTGCTTAATAATTTATCAGCTCATGATGAATAAAAACCTCAAAAAGTTACTTCGTCCCGGTACATACGTGCAGCTTTCATCCAGCTGTTACATTTAAAACACGTCCAAAAAAATTCAAAATAAATAAATTTCATTCACTTTCAAACTGAAAAAGAGCAAATTGGTATAAATAGGAAATAATGGAAAGTAACGCTGCTGGTGTGCTAAAAACTTGCAAAAAACTAACTGAAATAAAGCCCGCAGTTTATTGGCGTGACATCCATCAGGAACACTAGCCAGAGTGCAAGAAATCAATAAAGCAAGATCGCGAAGCTGATCACTAGATTTCAACTGCCGAATGTAATCGCACGGGGGAAGCGATAATTCGTAATCGTCCTCGGTATCGGATACCAACTCAGCACCTCGCCTTGCTACCATCACACTTCCTGAATCCGATACTCCATCCATTCCAGTATAATCCACACTTCGTCTTTCTTCTTGCTCTGACAACGCATCCAAATATATTGACCCATCAACATTATATGCTTAAAAGATTATTTTTTAATCGATTTAATCATGATGACTGTCTGACTGCACTTTCAAACTGAAAGTGCAGTCAATACAAATATTGAACTGATAAGGAAAAGAATCACAGTGAAAAAGTCTAATCGTTGACGATAACGACAAGCAGCTAACTGAGCTGTGGAATGCCACTGAGCATATTCTTCAAAATTGATTTACTATTACGCCAATAATAACATAGACGTACAGTAAACGTGTGAGTGATCATTAACAAGATTACAGATCTTTGTTTGGAGTATTTCTTCTTAACTGCTTAATTCAGTCAATTATTTAACACTTCAAGAACGAGTAAAAGTGTTGATAATTTCATTATCGGACTGACTATGAGACAGAAAGGAGAGCGATTATGCTCTAAAACATCAAATTTCAATTTATCCACCAATCAATATTCACCACCAATGAAACACTCCTTAATAGCATCATCAACACCATTTTCTGCATCCAATTCTGACTGGTCATCCCGCAAATCAAACCCTGTCACCTGCGGTGATCCACAGTCTTTCTGCCAAGCCTTCAGTTGTCATTTGTCATTCAGTTGTCATTCTCTTACTCACCATAGCAAATTTTCTTCCATCCTTAATGCTGCCTTTTTATCGAGCCTGAGCTAGGATACGAATTGGCATCTATCTAACTATCATTCTTGTAATTATGATTTCAAACAGATCAAATCCTTCTGATGATTGCGTTTTGCGCTCGTGATTGCGGATAGACCACTTCCTTCTGATTGCACTGTACGCTCTGCGCTGGGAAACTTATTGCGGAACTCAACATGGAGGCTGAATGGTTTCCGCGATAGCTCAGAAGTAAGCCCAAGATCATATACGGTTATATCGATGGTTCCAATTCCGCTCGCGAAAGAATGTTTTGCTGGAAATGGAATGACATATCAATACCATTGATGCTCTCATCTCTACCCATTCAAACTTTCTTCCGTCGTTTTTTTAAGACATCCTCAACTTTCCTAGCATCTCCTTAGCTTGTGAGTGATTCTACGATGCCTTATCAACCCTAGGCATCAACCCTTCCATCCCTCTCTGTGTAAATGCACTGATATTCTGTTTTTTTTTTGTGTCGTAGATCGTTCACAGCCATACACCGTCACTAGCATTATAAATCAGTTGAATGAACATCTTCTGAATTTTACGGAAATATTTCTATCTCCAAAAAGACATTCATCATTCAAAAAAAAGGTTCTTCACCATTGTTGCATTCTTCTTCTTCTTCTTCTTCTTCTGATTTCTATTATCGGTACATCTTTTTACAGAGTTGACCGATGTAGACAAATTCTTCGACTTTTCCGCCACTTCCCCATCAACTTCCACTGGGCTATTCATTGGGCGATTGCATTTTACGTGATTATTTCAAAACATTCATCTTCCACCCAATTTTCTTATTCCCGTCGACCAATTCTATATGCACTGCACTTGACTGATCAAAACTATGTGACTTCAATATGTCGTTGATAAATCGCAGACTCGAAAGCGAGCTCCCGTCGATACTGGTATCCTTATCGCCCTATTGAAAGTTATCCAGTACTGCTACAAGCATGCATTGAACAGTATCGGTGAAGCCTTGTCTCTTTGAGGAATATTTTACATTTTGGATGATATTTTTCTTCCTTATATATGGATTGCCGATTGGCATTTCAGATAAATTTACTATATCACTTTGGTAACTGACAAGTTACAGAAGCTCTCTGCGTTGAGTTCCATTTCTCACTGACCTCGATTGAGTGGAATGCTTCCTCATAATCAACGAATATCTAGCAAAGGGAGAAGTTATATCCACGTGATTTTTCGATAGGTTGCATAAAGATGAACGTTCAGTGAATCACTGAATACTGATGATGAAAACTAACATATTCACATCTTTCATCTGCTCATATATTATGTTCTGTTATTCATCATTTTAGTGGAATGTTTTTAGATATTCGATAACAGTGACATGGAATGATACTTTCGAATGTCTTTCGTGTGCAGCAAATCATTTTTGAATCTGCGAATGGTGGTGGAACTATTGACTTGTTGACCATTCTGTTTTGTGTAAGAATGTGATCTTCCCTAACCAGTTCAGTAGTTTCATAAGTAATGCGATCCTTACCTGTTAAGATTATAACTTTCACTACAGCAAACAACGAAATGAAAAACTGACCGCTGTCACTAGCGTCATCCTGTTGATCGATTGTCTCCATTCAATATTTACTTACGAAATTTATTTAATTCGATATATTGTCACACTCAGTTGGATTATCGAAATGCTTATCACAACTGCAATTCGATCTGTTTACTAGTAACGGGATTAACTGCTTGAAAACGATTAATTTTGAGAAAGAAAAAGACACTGAAATGCTTAAAATACTTTCGTGTATTCAACACGAAAATGGTGAATTCGAAGTCGTTGAGTAGCCTCCGGAGTGAAAAGTATCGCTGATTGGGGCAATTACTGACGACGCAAAGACGCTGAATAATCGAGGATAGTTACCCGCTCTTAACTAATGAATAAATGAATAAATAAGTACATAAAACATCACGGCTTGACGGATCAACTACGGAACAATAACCACTGAAAAACAAAAGAATACTCGAAAATATTCATAATCGATGGAACGACTTCAACAACCAAACGTATGCACATCACAACGAGAATATTTATTCATACAATTTGCATAAAAATATCCAAAAACGAACACACCGACAAAACTGGACAACGGATAGAATAAAGTAAGTAGTAAATGTTTGAAAGAATACCACATCAAACGAACACAATGCTCTAGACAACATTCTGTGATTAAAATGATTAAAAGTAGTATGTGTAATGTTGGCACTAAGATGATGAAACACTAGATTTTAGCAATAATTCCATGCTGCTTAATTATCAAGGTGATTGAGGATTAATGATAAAACCATTATGCTCTCTTTCAAATATCAACAGAGTAGAATCACATTCTTTCAATCGTACATGCCATTCTTTCATATCCGAACTGTCATGCATTGCTTACTATCCGCAGCAAAATGCAATAAAATCAAAAAAATTTGCCGAGATGTAATTTCGATGGAACATTACAATGTTAAAGTTAAAGTAGTTTATACATGGGTCATCCAATGTCATCACCCACTGATGGGTCTTCATGTGTGGATG